ATGAAGTTAGATAATGCCTCATTGAATTTTTTGACTCCTACCCCCAGTCCTGACTGTAGCTTTTAATGTTTAGTTAATGGAGGGAAGAAATGTTTCCCTAGTAACTTAGAAGAGATTTGTCAGCTATAAAAGCACTCAGGAACAACTGATAAAAAGGTAATCCTAAGAAAATGCACTCCAAATGGATTACGAGGTAACAAAGTCAACACGGGCGTACATGTCAGAGTGACAGCTTATATTTGCTAATGCCGTATGTGTGAGCTGGTTAGTCAGAGCTGCTGAAACTGGCATAATACATGAGCATATCAGTTTCGGTAAACACTGAGACAGATTTTATTTCAGCTTTAACAACACATTGCAAAATCACTAATGCATAAAACCAAGAGGGTACATGACAATTCCTTAACAAACATATCATCTCATTGACATTGGTTTCAAAGGGCCAAGTTGACTTTGGCCATAGTCCTTCTGCCTGCTGTGTTATTGCAGCAAAGTAGATCAACATTGCATTAGAGCAGGACCACAGAGAAAAATTATCTTCAAAAATATAACAAAAGAAAAGCATCGATCAGCAAGTCAAGAACTGGAAAGCAAGCATCTTTCATTCACTTCTCCAGAATGATTCTTCTGTTTAGTCAGTTCTCTAGACATTTCACAATCAATAAAGAGAACTTAAGGCAGTCTGAGAAATCATAGAAACATTCAGTGGCAAAGAATACTCATTTCCAGGTATCACAGCAACTAAACAATATTTCTACCCCTTAAAAATAACTCTGAAAAAATAGGCAGATCTTAGACATTCACACTAGCTCTTTGGACAAGTGTTATTTCATTTCAACAGCACTGATCCCAAACATAGGAATTTTACCTCACAGACCTGCAGTCTTCATTTTGTGACTCCTTATTACAATAATAAAAGTTTTATGAACTCAAATGATGCTATTAAGAAAGGAAAATTAGCCAAAGCCTCTCTGGACTTATTCACAAGACCAGACTATTCACTTCTTATTTCCATAAACTCTGGTTATACATGAAAATGAAACATTAAAGTGCTGGTCCAGAGCCAAGTTGCTGTAATACACAGAAGTTTAAACTACAAAGCAAGCTGCTGCTGGAAGAAATTACCACTATCCATGTATGGGATCCATGTCATTGCTGTCTTGCGAAAGGCACTGAAGAACAATTAGGCCCATTACTAACGGAATTGATCAACTTCTCCTCCAATAAAGCACACCAGCCATGCCTTTAGAACAACACAATATCTTGACCAGCCAAAGAAGCCAATATTTCACTTTCTAGTTATTCCCAACAGCACGGGAAAAAGAAAAACTACTGTGAAACTATTAAAGAAAATTCCAGCAATATGACATTGGTCAGCTGTTGAACCTTCACAGGTTCAGACCAGTGCACAGACCAAAGACTGCCCTGGGAACTCCAGTTCACATATTCCGTGGTCGTAGCACAAGTAAGATGATCTCCACGTTGTTCTGTGAGATCTCTGCAGTGACTTTGATACAGAGAGCTACAGAAGAAAGTCTCCAAAGCACAGAAGTAAGTATCTTGGTACATCTAATTTGTCTCCAAAGCACAGAAGTAAGTATCTGGGTACATCTAATTTGTCTCCAACAAGACTTGGCGAGGGCAGTCAGTAACTACTTCTTCTCTCCTGCGTGCTCTCAGAGTTTACACTATCCCCTTTTCAGCATTTAGAGGACCATCAGCAAAACAGGGAGACAGTGTGTCCCCTCATTCCAACACTGTGCTCATGATATTCAGCGCTCTGTTGCTTTTTCTTGATACCTTTCAACAAATATATATATACATATAATTTTTATAATGACGTAGTAATAAGAACACCTGCTTATGGAAGCCAAACACCTGGCTGCAAACCCTCCATAGCCAGAGAGTTACTTCAGGATGAAGTGCCAGCGATGTACTCGGTGGGGGACACTGACAGGGACTAAAAGAGCAGGCACCACTAGCGATGGGTCACTCTGAATATAAGCATAAAGATTTAGGAAGCGAGAAGCACTGGAGAGCAGTGGCACCATCCCATGACTTGCCATGTTTTTGAAAGGATGTAGCCTCAGCTGCTTTATCATATGCTGAAGTCAAGGCTGCCTGTGTGAGCGATGCATGCCCATGGCATAGCTACTGGATTAGCCCTTGACCTTAAGGGCAATATATGCTTATTTTGTGAAGCCAAAGATTAGGCATTAAAATGCTCTGCACAGTCAAAATGATGCCAGCCCAGGAAAGCAGAACAGCAGCACTTCATGTGCCCAACAAATTTTAGTAGCAAGAACATGAGATGTCTCAGGATTCTCAGTCACACTACAAGGAAAGAAGGATTTTATGGGGAGTGCTCACCTGGACCCACAGGCCTAAATGCACCCCAGGTGGCACTTTTGGCATATAAACATTGGGGTTTTTTGAATCTGGCTCTATGTTTCTTCCTCCCTTGTAACGATCCTGACAAACAATCTATTTGTCTGTGACCTCCACCCCGGATTACTATAACTCACTATGTGGTTGAAGCTTAACATGCAGGTAAAGAATGGGCCCCAGATGTCACTGCTCATCTTCCAATGCTCACATCGTTATAGAATAACAGACCTGCATTTAAGGCTCTCCACAAGCTCCCAAGTAGTTTCTACAACAGACCCAATAAAGAACTGAGGCATTTTGGGTTGTTCATCCCCATGATTTAATAGGTAGCCTGTTTCAGTGCATGGGGAGAGTTAAGAGCCTTAGAACTGCAAACTGAACAGCCCATATGCTGAGAAGCCTAGGATGCACTATGCACAGGGGCACTATCTGAAAAATCCGCCAGAGGGTAAGGGTCTCCTAGTGCCAAGTTAGCAATCCTTCATGACAATTAGGAACATAGATGTCTAGAACTCCCACAGAACCGAGCAGAGCTAGCTCTTTTATTCTATAGTCCATGTTCTACGCAGGTAGTAGTGTAACCACTTTATCTAAGATGTTGTAGTTAGCATACTTAGAAAAAAGCAGACAGTGTCAGTTAGTTCAGTTCCTGACTTGGCCTACAGTTGAAGCCCTCACCAGCATCTTCAAGGAAAAAAAACCCTTATCTGTTGCAGAGACTTTTTTTCTTGTGATCTTCCTGGTCTCAGGAATTTTGAATTCCATCCTAGCCAGTGGCACAACTTCATCCCGATTTACTAGCAAGTGCATTCTTTTTCAGTTCTGTATACAGCCAGATGGTCAGATCCATTGATTAGGATGCCAAAAAATGTGCATTTCAATCTCCCCAGGCTGAGTAGCAAGCTAATCTCAGATCAATTGTTTAGTCCAACATTCAGGCTAGTATTTAAAAGGTGGCTTGCATCACAACTACTTTATTTTCAAGGGGTGACTTCACTTTCATTCTTTGAGAATCTCCATCTTGCTCATGTTGCTTAAAAATGCTCACAGCATCTTGGGTAGAAGGAAAACCATCAGGCCCAACATGAGAACTGCATACTTTAGCTCAAAATGAGCTAACTCTGTGCCTGCACAGAAGCAAACTGTAGAGGAAATTTTACTGTTAAACAGGAAAGTATTACAGTGTGGTGAGTCACCTTCAGGGGTAAATGGCACCTGAACTAGGGAGGCTTTAGGATGTCAATTCAGGTACCTTGTTTAGGCTTAACTACTAATCTTAAGACTAAGTACAGCCTAAGTATTGCTGCAGATTTCTCACTTCTTCATTGGATATAATCCATTACAGAATTTTGACATCTGTGAATCGTTCAAGACCTGGTTTTATTCGAGTTTGTGTTTTGATACATGAGCCACAGTGGCTGCTAAATAACAAAGCCCCAGCTGAAACAGGGGAAAATGAGGACAGAGCATTTTCTGTGGTGATCCAACTATGCACCCAGAGCAGGCCAAGCAAATCAGGGTGTTCACATCTTTAGGAGCACTTGAAAGTCTTCTTACTAGATACCGCGGTGAGGGGTGCAGTTTAATATTTTGGATTGATAGGCAAGATATTTCCTTCTCACCTGAATGCATTTCTTTGTGTCTTCTCTGACACCATGAGAAGAGTGAAACCATGTAGTTTATATTAGTTTTGACTATCATTACAGCATAAACAGGACAGAGGTTTTATATCAGATTTATAGCTTTGAGATACCTGGCATGCAAAGTTTGACTTTCTTAAGCTCTGAACAATTCTAAACTACAATACTGGCTAAAAGATCTCAGAAAAAGTTCACTTCAGAATTTCAAAGGCAAACTGAGACTCAGCTGTAACTTGGCAGAGTTGAGTTCCAGACAAAAATGATTCAGCCTTTTCATTCTTTACATGTTATCTTTCACTTTCGTTCATCTTACCTTTTCCCAACTTTTCACATTTTGGAGGAAAATGGAGAATATGGAAAAAGATCATAGTCGTGGATTTTAGATTTTCATGTTAACAGGCTATGTTCAGAAAAAAAATATAGATCAAGGTTACGTACACAGAGAATTACAGAAGGATCCTACACAACCAACCAATAACAGTACCGACATTTCAGACTGAAAAAATGTCAATATTTTCATGGCAGATTTGAACAGTTTTTAGATAGATTAAGGCTCTTCTTTGAATTTGTCCATTATTGATCTAAAAATGACAGTGCAGTTCACTGGCATCTTGCTGAACTAAGACATTTAAAAGAACAGTATCACTATCAGCAGAGCACAGAGAAAAGTTGTAAGTGGTTCCCTTCGTGTAAGCTAGTCCAGCAGAATATTATTATCCTCAAAAACTCGTGACTTCTAAGTGAGAATGTCAGTTCATAGACTGTAGAATAAAAAATCAAATTGTTTGATGAGACCTTGCACAAAAATTTAGCCCCTTCTACACTACTGCCACCCTGAATGATGGTTGAAAACCTTGCCAATTTTTAATTGCTTCATATAATTAGGTTTTAATACAGTTGAGGAAAGAAAAGCAACTACAACACATTTAACATATGTAACAAATAAGGAAATTTACATTAGATGTGGAGGACCTGGCAGACTGCCATTCACCACAAGGTTTTGGAACAAGATAAAGTCATCCATAACTTAACAGATGTTAAACACAACAGAAATTAAAAAGTGCTATTGCTAAAAAATTCTTATGGTGAATTCAGATTTGGCTCCATGTTCATAACACAACTGACTTGACAAATGAAAAGTAAAGACTCAGATAAATAAAACACATAATAGAATGGCCACACACAGTGTGGGATCTCCTAAACTACTGCAAATATTTGTACTGTTCTAAAAGTCATCTTGACTAAAAATTAACCATGTATTCGCTGCTTCTATCCAGTTTTCCTGAAAAAACCTAAAATTCAATTCAAAACATGCTAAAATGTCCTAGTGTTTATACATTTTTCTCATCTGTAGAAGCATTAAGCACAGGGTTCTGTACTAGTCATTTATTTCTTACTTACAAATCAGACAATTCTTTACAAGACAGTACAGTACAATAACTCTTCCCATAACAAAAAGTTATATATGCATTCTATTTTGGTTCTTTGCTGAAATGGTTTTCTTGTATTTGTTTTCTTGATATAAATGTCCTTGGTCAAGGCAGATGACAAATGTAATTAAGCTGCAAAAAAATTCCATTTAACTGATAGTTCCAGTATTGAAGGAAGCTTGTGCAACCTTTGAGTTTGTTTTCTTGTTCAAAGCTGTACAGATGAAGTTTCCAGCTTCCATCACTGTATAAAGATTCACTCCCTAAAAAAGAGGTGAAAAATGTTAAGAATGATAAATGCACATGTTTAAAATGCTTAAACTCCCAAGTTTTTTTGCTCCAGTGTCTAATTTTTGCAAACCAAGGGCCTGATTCATGTCATAGGTCGGTAATGGATACTAGTAGAGTTACAGTGACTTACACGATAGTCACAGCTTCCAGTTGTTTCGAAGGTTCTACTGCTTTGAGAGTGATTTCTTATCCTGACAGCAGTAGACCAAATACTTGAGTAATGTCTTTCAAACTCAAAATAATCTGTAATAAAGAACTGGAATAACAACTAGAAGAAGTGGGAAAAAAAATATAGTGTCTACATATGTGCTGTAGTTATTTATCACCCAATGCTAAGAAACTTCATGCTTGTAAGTATCCCACTTGCAGCTCAGGAAAATGGAGGAAACACACTTGTACCGGCAACTGAGTTCAGTGAGAAACAGGATCCTGCATTCTCTTGAATAAACATAATCTGCTTCTTGACGAAGTTCCTTTCAATGCAAAATTACAATCTACATTGCTAGCACAACTGAGCAAAAAATTGCAGCTCAGCTGTTTGATCTGCCCATGCTAAAAAAACATTCCTTAAGCAACCAACTGTTTTTTAACTAACGTAAGATACAGATCAGTACCGTTTGATTGCTAAAATGGAATCAGATCACTGATTAAAGAGGAAAAAAATACTTCAGTATTAGTCTCCTGGATTACTCATGTATAGTAAAAGTTTGAGAGTTAGATCATTTAAGTGATGTAATTACTTGCTCCAGAGTTGGAATTTAGAAGCCAGTAAAGTTCCTGGAGAAGGGATGTGAAAGGAGACTTTGAACTACCAAAACACTGAGCAGTCAAATAAAACTGGGAGAAGTGTGTCACTTGACATTAAAGAGTACAAGATGTATTGCACCAGAAATACACTTTCATAACACTTACAGATTTATGCACGAAAGTTCAGACCAAGACCTGATTTAGATGCTTAATCCTTTAATTGGATCTACCACTTATTTCCATGTTCTATGGCAAGCATTGCCTTTTTCATTCTTGGAATTGGGCTAAAAATCTTAATGAGAATAGAAATTGCTTCATGGAAATGTAATCAAAAACATTTTTAATTTGGAAAAAAAATGCTTCAAAGTTTCTAATCAGGTCTAATATTTAGCACCATTTAAAACATAATGTTGAAAGACATCCTTTTATAACTGTCTCGTTTTAATACAGTTATAACAAGGGTGATTTCAGCTTATTCTGCTTATTGGTCATTACTTAGGTTTAGTTTGTAGAGTGCTATTGCACATAATGTAATCTAAAAAATTTTTAGAGCATCTGTGGTTTTTTACTAGGAAGAAATGAGAAACATACTGCCAGAGACATACTTGGTAGTTAGATTATGGAAGATGGCAAAATAAAAACCCCAAACTATACAAAATTCACATTTTCAGCACTGTAACACTGCATAATGTGATATGTGTTGATAAGATACATATGTTCACAGTTCACATTCATTAAATGGAATACAAGCATCTCTGCCTTTTAAATTGTCTGTCTTATGAAAGTGTTGTGAACCAAAGAGGATTACCGTGAAGGCACAACCCAGCATTCACAAGCATGACTCACAGATGGGGATGGGAAAAGAGTAGCGACAGGTGTTTGTAAGGTTGTTGAGTCAAAATAATATGTCTTCGGATAAGTGTACTTGGTAAGCACTCTGTATATCCAGAATTATTCCTTGACACCAAAGAATGAAATCATGGAACACGAAGACAAGTACCTCCAATAGTCTCTGTGAACTTGGGTAAGTGCCTTAAGTCAGAAAAGCTTCTGCCAGAAGGCAAAGTCCTTTAACTCACATTGACTTCAATTAATCAGTTCTCATTCAGCATTCATAAATATCAAGTCTATTATCTCTCTGAACTTCGGTTTCGGTGTCAGTAATGTGAGGCTAACAGTACTTAGCTGCTTCTCAGAAAGGCTTATTGTTTGCCAAGCACTTTGAAGGCATCATAAGCACAAGTACTATTCCTGTAATTACATAGGAACCATACAGAAACTGTTTTTATAGAAAGTACATGTCTCCCTACAAAGTTTCATAAGCATTAATGATCTATGACATAATTATCTATCCATTACCATGGTACAACCAATACATCTCTTTGTAGATGGGCTCTCCTAGAAAATTATTTCACATTTATCCCACTAGAGATTCAATTCACACATCACTTCGTGGTTATGTGTTCTGAAGAACAGTATAGAACAATCACCAATCATTATTTTGACGTATCTAGTCAATCTGAACTCAATAATGTACGCTTAAAAACCGTCCATCCTTTGGTTGACACTTTAAGTGACTTCAGTCAACAAAATGAAAGCTTTAGTGCATAGCTTAGAGGAACATGAGAAAGCACTCCTTGCAAATGGACAGCATTAGTAATTATAATTTTATTTTGTGCCATTATACAAAAAGGGACATATTAATAGATTTTTGCAATAATGATTTTACAGAATTAGCCATGGTACCTAAACCAACGAGCGCTGCAAAGACCAAAGCTTATATAGTAAGGTAGTAATTTTGAGGGTCCATGTCTCTCATCCAGTAAACTACTCTTTTCTTAATGGGCCAGAAAAGGGTCAAGGAGCAAAGTCTTGTGTTTTGCTATTGTATATTTTAAAAAGGAAGAACTAAATGTTTGATGGTGAGATCCTTACCTCCATGGGACTTGGTATCAACCTTTAGGACAAGCTAGATTCCTGCTTGGACACCTGATCATTAGAAGATTAATAAATCTTACCAGAAAGCCTGGAACAAGGTATATTTCATTTAATCAGACTATTTTTATTTAATTGATTCATTTTGCTATGAGTTAGTTGGAAAAGTCAATGTGTATTTTGGCCAAGGAAAGACTACATGGAAAGCCTAAGTCTAAAGTGCGCAGCAATGTAAAGTGGAATGCATGATTTCTACTCTGTATTCCAAAGGATTGTGTTGTTTCAAAAGAATAAACACCTTCTTCCTGAAAAAAGCTATCCCAAAGCACATATGAACAGTTCAAAATGGAGTCCACTTGTACAACAGACACTTGGATTAAACCTTTTCTAAACAGGGATCTGACGTCTATCCAGACCAATCTAAGAAGCACATGAAACCAGATAAACATTACAGTGAACTCTTGTCATGGTTTAACCCCAGCCAGCAACTGAGCACCACGCAGCCGCTCACTCACTCCCCCCCATCCAGTGGGATGGGGGAGAAAATCGGGAAAAGAAGTAAAACTTGTGCGTTGAGATAAGAACAGTTTAATAGAACAGAAAAGAAGAAACTAATAATGATAATGATAACACTAATAAAATGACAACAGCAATAATAAAAGGATTGGAATGTACAAATGATGCGCAGTGCAATTGCTCGCCACCCACTGATCGACACCCAGTTAGTTCCCGAGCAGCGATTCCCCGCCCCCACTCCCCCCAGTTCCTATATTAGATGTGACGTCACATGGTATGGAATACCCCTTTGGCCACTTTGGGTCAGCTGCCCTGGCTGTGTTCCGTCCCAACTTCTTGTGCCCCTCCAGCTTTCTCGCTGGCTGGGCATGAGAAGCTGAAAAATCCTTGACTTCAGTCTAAACACTACTGAGCAACAACTGAAAACATCAGTGTTATCAACATTCTTCTCATACTGAACCCAAAACATAGCGCTGTACCAGCTACTAGGAAGACAATTAACTCTATCCCAGCCAAAACCAGGACAACTCTGTCAGGTACTGAATATGATGGAACAGCGCTCAGGGTATGTACAACTCAGAAACAAGTTCCATGATCCTTTTATGTCAAGGAACTCCATCAGCATGTGTACCACACTGAACCGCAACCGAGAGACAAGTAATAAGCTCCCTAGTAACTCAGATCATTGTATTTCAGACATCAGGCCTTTCAATTTCTTTCTGCAGTAGTTTAAATACAAACTACACACATTGCAGGTTTGGCAGCTCTTTATACGTTGTCCTTTGAGCTTGACTCTCAAAGTCTACGTCTAAGTTGAAGGTAAAGTCATTGTATTGCTTGAGTTAGAACAAACTCATTATGCCACATTTCCAGAACAATGATGACCAACAGGAAGACCAAAAAGCATGTTTTTTGAAGAAGGCAGCATTACTTGATTCCCAGGAATACAGAATAATTAACATGTCAGCCAAGCCAGGGATACTGAACGTGTGCTCTTCAAGTCTGGATGCTCACTGGAAAGGTTCATTAAAGTGCAGCTCAGTGTGGATAAGCTGCTTTGCTCTCTCCTCCAAGAACACAGATGGAAATAAAAATGACTCTGAAGCCTGCTAGCCAGCAACAGAGTTTGTACAATTTAGAAATATATTAAGTGGATACCTGAGAAATAGGAATGCCCTGTGCTTGGTCTCCAAACACCACAATTTTTTTCTACTTTGAAGTCATAAAAATTGACAAAAAATTAATAAGCACTATGAACCAAATCCAAAGCTCTGTGAAAAAAGCTGAGGTCTGCTGTCCTGGTTTCAGCTGGCATAGAGTTAACTGTCTTCCTAGTAGCTGGTACAGTGCTGTGTTTTGAGTTCAGTATGTGAAGAATGTTGATAACACTGATGTTTTCAGTTGTTGCTCAGTAGTGTTTAGACTAGAGTCAAGGATTTTTCAGCTTCTCATGCCCAGCCAGGGCACCTGACCCAAACTGGCCAACAGTGTATTCCATACCATGGGACGTCCCATCTAGTTTAGGAACTGGGAAGTGGGGGGGGGGCAGGGATTCGCCGCTTGGGGACTGGCTGGGTGTCAGTCGGCGGGGGGTGAGCAATTGCCCTGCGCATCATTTGTACATTTCAATCCTTTTATTACTACTGTTGTCATTTTATTAGTGTTATCATTATCATTATTAGTTTCTTCTTTTCTGTTCTATTAAACCGTTCTTATCTCAACCCAGGAGTTTTACTTCTTTTCCCGATTTTCTCCCCCATCCCACTGGATGGGGGGGAGTGAGTGAGCGGCTGCGTGGTGCTTAGTTGCTGGCTGGGGTTAAACCACGACATCCGCTCAGTCTTTCCACTGTAGAGCTGATCAGCCTTCTGGGGCAATGTCTATAGCAGTGATTTTTTTGTGGCTACTGAGGCAGAACAGTGACTCAAAGCAGTTGCTACTGAGCTCCTCATAGCTCCAGGTAGGGAGAGGGTGGTTATTCAAATTCCTGTCAAATATGCAAACAAGTTCAACTCTAAATTGCTAGTGAAGACAACATCATTCATGTTATGAGTCAAGCCATGTTAAAGCACTGAGTTTGCAAAAACTACTATTTGCTCCCAATATTTTATTGTACAGCACAAGTAATTGTCAGGTATGTAACGTATCTTTTCCAGAAAAATATTTTTGTTTTCCTTAAAGTCTTAAGTAGAAAGTAAAAATATCTTACTGTATTGATACCCAGACCATTAAGCATGTATATCACATCCTCCGTGGCTACATTTCCAGTAGCACCTCTTGCATAGGGACAACCACCCAGTCCTGCAACCGATGAATCCACTACAGCAACTCCCATCTGGAAGACAGCAACACAAAAATGCAACATCAGCACAGAGTATTATTTATAATTATTCATAAATAGCAGGCTATACATATTAGTTACCATGGATAAAATACACATTTCTCCAAAAATGGATGTGTTTCTCAGAGGAAATTCCTTCAACGGCATTAGTCCCGACATCTTTATAAGGTAAGACTCTTCAAACACAGGATGTGGAACAGAGAACTAATGGTCCATTACATGTGATTTTGTCAGATAAGATGATTGCTGGTTTAGAGCGAAACAGAGTTTTATGTCTTTTCTCTCTTTATCTCTCTACATGTTGTTTTTAAGTAGCCTGCATCTATTCCTGCAAAGGCTTACATGCAACCAAATACAATCAATATGTTTATTCAAATGTGTAATTCTAAGCATATATATATATATATGTCTTTGCAAGGTGAAAGTTTTAATATTAGCATCTGATTTACATGTCATCCACAAGATTTAGGGATATCTAGCCTCTCAAATGTGTTTTATATTAATGGCTATTCTTCCAAAAGAACTTCCCTCCTAGCATTTTCTCTCTTCTCATTTCATTTTCTTTCCTCTTTATTAGACATCACGAAACCACCATGTAAATAAATTTTTTGTTCTTGTGCTGTATCCCAGTCAAAACCAGCACAGCTAGGTAGCTGCTCAAAGCCTGTAATAAAGACCTCAAAGAAGCTGAGGTGCATAACTGTGACAAGCAAGACAGTACTGTTTAATATTGCTCACGCATTGAGACTCTCTTAAGAAGGGATATTGTACTTTAAAGCTCACTAATCTGTGAATTATGGAGTGAATCACCAAATTACATGTTTCACATTTCAGTCACTTATCACACACTTTGTTTGCGTAACCCACCGGTCAGAAAACGTGTTATACAACACATCTGTGTCCAGTACACAGAGGATATGCATTTATGATAGCTTTCAACTGGAAATTCTGTCTCTTTTGGCACTAGCTGGTAAGATTCATGCATTTATTTTGGAAGTCATTGCTTCAAGCTCCACAGTGGCAGCTGTTGGGCTCACAAGTGTCCCTGCAGAAACACACCTAAGGCCTCTTAATGGAAAATCTTACGGTGCGGTGAAGGTCTGGGGAAGAGAAAAGGGAGACTAATAGGTAGAAGTACTGGTATGATACAAGCATGCCTCCCACTACCATGCCTGCTCTTCCAGGTTGATTTTAAGATTTCCATCAGAAACGACTGTTTCAGGGATGAAAAGGTAGAAGAAAGTGTCCTTCACGGACCTTCCCACCAGCTGTCAGGTTATGTCACAACTGCTAGAGTATTATTCTTGATGTACTTACTTTCAGTAACATTTAAATGGGGATAAAAGCTACAGGAAAATAATGTGCTGAGGTACATCACAGCTCTTCAACTCCTAAGGAAGATCAACAGACTCAGAAACAGCTTTCGTAGCCTACAAGCAGTCACTTTCTAACCCCAGTGAATTATCTCATGAAAGGCTTGTCCTTGTGCAAAAATGGGAAAAATAGCAACTAAATTGTATCAGTGACAATTAAAGTGGCATCTGAAAACACCCAGAAAAGTTTGCCAGTTCAAGGCAGGAGAACCTCCTCCTGTGGAGTGTCACCTGTATTACTATCAGTAGCCTACTTCAGTGCTTCTCAGGGCTCTCACTGTGAGAAAAAACAAGAAACAACATACTGCCAGCATTAAAAGGGTGTGTCTTCTAAAGGCAATGGATATATATACATAGTAATTTCTTGATATGCTTGTACAAACACTTGTGATACCACTATAATTCTGCATTTGCAATGCAGATCTCATAACACTGGGGTACGTGTTGCTTATTATTGTTTGTTCAAAGTGTTTGTGAATACATGGAGAGGTATGGGAATACCACAGCAACATAAAGGTAACATGGAATACACATCTTTGTCTAAGCACACCCTAGTATTCTCAGGTAGCCTCTTCTGAGTTAATTCAAATTACCTCCACTGGAAGCTGGAGTGAGCTCAGTCATTTTATTTTATTATACATGCAAGAGCATAAAAAACGATGTCATCTGCTGGGTAAGCAGTGAGAGCAGTAACCTCCAGATGACGGACAGTGATAACTGCTCTGTCTTTTAAACCATCGACTATTCTGGCTAAACAGAAAAATTAGAAAGTCTAGCCACAGCTTTATATTGGTAACATCCTTGGTATGGCAGCTTTCATCCTAGTACAAGGCACTTAAACCATTACTTCCCAGAAGCAGCGTATAAACATGTTTATGTCTCTATGTGCTGGTTCTGGCTGAGGCAGGGTTCATTTTCTTCATAGTAGCTAGTGTGGGGCTCTGTTTCGGATTTGTGCTGGAAACAGTGTTGATAACACAGGGATGTTTTAGTTACCCCTGAACAGTGCTTACCCAGAGCCAAGGGCTTTTCTGCTTCTTACCCCACCAGCGAGGAGGCTGGGGGGGCACAAGGAGTTGGGCGGGGACACAGCTGGGACAGCTGAACCCGACTGACCCAAGGGATATTCCAGACCACGGTACGTCATGCTCAGTATATAAAGCTGGGGGAAGAAGAAGGAAGGGGGGGACATTCAGAATGACAGCATTTTTCTTCACAAGTCCCCGTTAGGCGTGCTGGAGCCCTGCTGTCCTGGAGATGGTGAACACCTGCCTGCCCATGGGAAGTGGTGGATGAATTCCTTGGTCTGCTTTGGTTGCATGCACGGCTTTTGCTTTACCTATTAAACTGTCTTTATCTCAGCCCATGAGTTTTCTCACTTTTACTCTTCTGATTCTCTCCCCCATCCCACCGGGGGTGAGCGAGCGAGCAGCTGGGTAGTGCGTAGTTGCCAGCTGGGGTTAAACCACGACACTCTATAATGGTATCTGCATCAGGATGGATTTGCCATTTTAACATTCAGCCAGTTGTAGATAAGTTCTTGACATGGTGTATATAATACAGCAGCTCTGACTGACCTCCAAATCTGACATGTCTTCAAATCAGTGCTCTTTATATGCAATGAGCGGGTGTCTCCGCCTTTAAGATATTGCCCTTTAAGGTCCTCTTCACAACACATCTGATAAGATGTCTACTGCAACATACTGCTATTTCAGCAGCAGGCTCAGCTGCCTCTGTCTGCTCTTGCTTGTGGTATGGGCAAATACGTGTTTTCTGATTTGTGTGCAGAATCACTGCAGTTCATCTCCAGTGTGGCCTCATTCAAAAAGTACTTAAACAATCCATACTCCAAGCTCCATTCTAACAGTGCTAAAACCAGATGTTGGAAAATATCCTTCAGCAGCACTACTAACTAATTTGGAGGTTAATATTACAGCCCAGCCTGTCCAAGCACAGAGTCTGAAATAGCACCTAATAAATAACTTCTCTGCAAGTTTGAGCAGCTATGAAGCTGTTTTGCTTTTGCAGCCATTAAAAGCATAAGAGGCTCTAAAAGAAAAGCTAAAAGTTGACATAATGTGTAAAACAAGGCCTCTTCCTTCATCACACGTCCAATATTTGTCAGACTTTTACAGGAAATAATGAGACTCAAGCCTTTCACCAATCTGAGCTTGCAAAACATTCACTGTCAATATGCGATCTTTAAAAAGGCCAGTCTCATCGTCACTTCCTGACAGGCACTAAATTGTGCTGAGATTCATGAGAAGTTGCACTGCGGCTATTTTGTAGCATATGTCCTAGACGAGCACTCACCGAGCTGCTTACGCAGGGACATGTGCGTGGGTGAACAATGGCTTGGCTTCCAGGACAACTTAAGTGCTCCAATCTTTTTTGACACTTGCAGAGTTTTGATAATCACTAAATTCCTGACAGTGGTTCCTGAACACCTTCCAAACTTTAGCTTTGGCTAGCTTTATCTTACTCTCTAGAGAAGGCAGAAGACTTTTTGTTCCTGTCCCATGCTAACTTCCTAATTCCCCAATGAGAGAGGAAGGAATTAAATTCATCACCTTTGTCAAATAGCCAGTTTTAACAGGAAACCATTATTGCCAGTGAATAATAAATGCTTCATGTTCCTCAGTTTGCTTTACTACCTCCCCATAACTTCTTGTTGGGACAGTCAGTCTCCTTCCTTACTGATCTTTAAACGTGGCTTCATCTGACAGAAGTTTAATTTTGTCCCTCTCTTAAAAATGGCAAGGTCAGCATCAGTAACTCCAGGGATGCATGAGGTATAAATCAGAAGCTATAAACCATGTCTCTCATAAATTAGGATTTTTTTTAAACTATGAGATTTTGAAACCATAATATCGAGGATCCCAGGTATGCATTAAACAGGAGAAGATTTGTCGTCCCACAAAGTTTAGGGGCCACAGCATGTGAAGTTCAGTACCACAGTGCCTTAAAGATAGGTGCGTGTAGCATCACTGTATTAGTTTGGCATTTGTTCAAGGAAGGGAGACGGAAGGGAGGAATAAGTAAAAGGAGGACCTACACAGGTTAGGTCAAAAGTTGTCCACACAAAAGGCAGCACAAGACTAACACTATTTAATCCTGCAGCCCTGTCAGTGCCTAGCTGGCATGCCTGGTGTGGGGTGGTACTGTCATATTACTATGTCTCTCTGGCATCAGTCTGCTACCCAGCACTACTTGGTATGCCATCAGGAAAAATGCCTTCTCCTGTAGAGATAGAGATAACCACAGAAATATAAAATACTATGCCAGCAATGCTTTGTGAGGTGGATGTGCCCAGAGAGACCATTCCGCAAGTTACATTATCACGTTATCTAAAATCAAAGCTTGACATTCCCCTTTATTTCAATAAAACAAATGTATGTAAAGAAATATTATTTTAGTATTTGAGCAATTAGAAGCATAAATTTCTACTTACAAGGCAATAAAATGGGACATCTCTCTGTGGAAAACCCTGAAAGTTAACTGCATTTCCTTCCTGCTTCTTTTTCTCTCAGCTCTTGCTAAAGATTAATGCATCACAAAAGAAAACACTACTTTTCAGAGTTAACTCCATCACTACTGACCACAGGGTGTCACTGTTACACT